GATTAGGGACTGGTGGTATGTTATTTTTACTTTTCTGTTTATAATTCTAAACATCAAAGTTACTAACATCTGAAACATTGGCTACATCACCTCTGTGCTAACTTTTTTCATAACATTTAAGTATGTATATATCTATATTCACATTGTACAAAGAAATACAATGTTTTATAGCAGTTCATTAAAGTAGCACAACGAGTTGGAACTCCTGCCGTAAGCAACCACCACATGTAGGGATGCTTTGAGGATGTAGTCACTGATGAGGAACTTAAACAAGAGGAACTAAATTGAATTTAAAAATTGTATTCGCAGCTGGGACAGAACCAGAGTTGATCATGTCAAATATAAACCCTGTAGTTTTCTCTTCTCTGGTGACAAACATTCAATCAAAGGCAGAATATGAAGTAGCACAAGATGCCACGGTTCTGTAAAATAGGATAACTGTGGAATTCCATTCTGGGTTTGTAAGTCAGCAAGATTTTTTCAAAGTTTATTGCTTGGTATTGACTGACCTCCAACTGCAGATGCACTGTCACTTGCAAGCAGAAATTTGAAAGAGGAAAAGCCGATGCTTCTTGTCGTAGATTGATAACACGTGGTTCCAGTCACCAGTAGTTATTTTCTTTAGGCAAGAGGTAATTTTATAGATGCTAAGTGGAAGACGGCATATAAAATTACCCACATACCCAAAACCAGAAGTCAGCAACTAAACTTAAAAATGAAAGAAAACTTTACTTGCACGCTTCCAAAGACATTGAATCACTTCATGATGCCCTCGCTCCTGTTGCAAACATCCACTTCAGAGGCAAAAGACTCATTTGCAAAGAAATATTAAGGAATCATTTAATGACAAAGGAATGATAGCACAGGGAACATGTTGCACCTCTGAAGGCTTAAGTCTGTTCTGACATGGAAATTAAATCTTCTAAGAATTACAGCTTATTCCAGTGCAATCCTGATTTTTGCAATAGGCAATTTTCAATGTGCTTAATGAAAATCTATATTTTTTTGTTACTGCAACTTTATAGGCTTCTAGAATCAATTCCTATGAGAAAATAAGTCCTGGGATACTTCTGTTAATAACATTAACAATGCAGAACAATTGCTGTATTCTTAAGAGATGTTGTATATCATCATAATGACTCCTGGTATTTTAAGGTTGCCCAGAAGCAAGAAAATTAGCTGCAACTATGTTCATTGCTCATTTGAACTCAATGGATTTTCTGTATTCTTTATAGCAAGGATTTCACTTGCATAGCAAAGTGCAGAACTTCTCATTGACTTTTAAATTACAAGCTTCATTATTATCTTTTCTTTTTGCTTAATTGTGCTACACTCTGCAAGAGTCACAGCTTTAATTGTATATTATTCAACTTTTTCTGGAAAAAGTTCATCCATTGAAAAGTTATACCTTTGTTCTGCAGATGTGGGCAAAAGCCACGGGTTTTCCTCAATCAATATATAAATTAGTCAACATTTAACTTGCCGTTAAAAAAATTGGTTCCACACCGATTTGTCTCTTTCATGGTAACACTGATATTTGTGTACAAATGGGAATTGTTCCTTCTCTCATTCTATTTTCCTATCAGTAATTATGTTAAACAAACCTCAGGATATCACACACTGCTAGTCCAGCAAAAGACAACAGAGATAAGGATGACGTTCAGGTACCTTTTGGAGGCCAAAGTCCCGTGGTCTCATTGAAAGCTCAATGAAAATGTTCCATAACCTTGTCTCCATCTCCTTGAACCACAAGAGAACTACCAGCACTTTTTAGAATGGGAGAGCAGTTAAGAGGAGAGAGAGTTGCTCTCTTCCCTGCACCTTACCACCTCCAAAGGAGTCCCTCAGGAGAGCACTTCCCAGACACGCAGGCTGCACCTACAATAAAGAATGCTGATGCTCCCCTGTTCTGGAGACTTGAGAAAGTCATGTAAGAGAATATGAGATGGGATTAACAGGAAAAGCTGATAAAGCTTCACTGACGAAGGGCTCTAAGCGAGGTCACCGTGGGGTTCTGACGGGAAGCATTCCTTGCAGAAAGTAAAAAAGTAGAAACAGAGAAGTGATAGAGAGGGAAGTTGGTCAAAATATGAGGAGAGAAGCAGCTGTTTGAGTGATTCAGTCTAATAATATGGTAGGAAAGATTAACACTTCATGGTCAGGCAGGCCAAGCAAGATGTTTTTTAAAATGAACCAGATGGAGCTAAGGAACGAGATGTGGAACAATGGTAAATTAGTCTTAACTCGGTAGTATCTTAGAAAAGCACTTCTTTTTTCTTCCTCCAGGATCAAAAAAAAAAAAAATCTTTAAAATGGTAGTTACATTAAATATATTTTAGGGAAAATCAGCTTTATTAGGAGTTGCCAATTTCCATCTAATCTCCACTTGAGTCCCTCTCAGAGAGGGTGCAACGACTGGGAGTCTGTGATTCTCCATAAGTGCAGCTACACATGTTCCCCTTCAGCAAAAAGGAAAGGGAAAATAAAGCCCTAGAGAAAACTACAGAAGCTTCATACCAGTTGAAACTAGTGTACAAAAAAGTTTTCTTCTAGCTGTAAGGCAATTTTCTCTATGGTGGCAGTCAGCAACAAGGGATCAACAGAGCAGCGAGCACAGAGTGTTCTGGCGCATCATCCAGGTCCCCTTCTGCCTCACTACTTCAGTCAGTCCTTCAGCCTCTCTGCACCAAACGTGCCTGGATTTACACCAGGCTGGTATTTCCATGTGCTGAAAGACGGGCAGCTGCCTTGTCAGGAAAGACAAGAATTTGTAGCTACTTTGTCCTCAACATAGTGACAAATAAAAACAACACTGTAAATAGCAAAACGTACGTATCTATCCTACCCACACAGAATCTTCACTACATAAGAAGAATTAAACAAGTAATATTTTTATCCTGTGAAAAAACTAAGATGACTTATCCTGATTCATGAGAATTGCTACTTTAAGTCAGAAAACTATTTTTCACTAATGGAACCGCATGGCCAGAAAATTTTCTGCCTGCTCTGTTGGTAGAAAGAACGTCAGCCAGCAACACTGGTCCCGTTAGAATCCAACTGTGAGGCTGAATATCAAGGCCTAATAGTAGTAAAAACTGATGTCCTCTTCCTCTGCCCTCCCTGAGTAGTATAGTCCGTAGTATAGTGTTCCTAGCCCTTGAAATTAACAGTGTAATTATCAACTAGGAGGCGACTTCTCAGCTCCTGTGCTCCACGGCACCATTTAGCCTCCTCTGCCCTCTGCCCCACGGCGCTCTCTAGAAAAGAAGCATTAACATGTCATTTAAAAATATTTCCTGCAGGCAACTCTAAGAATGAAATTGGTATCCACTTGAAACGTTTCTCCCATTATTACAAGCAAGCAGGCAGTATTTTAATGTGTGAAATAGGTTGCTAAGCCAGATTTTATATTCTTGGTTTAATGGTTACATTCAATCATAAACTTACGTAAATAACCTGACAGCTACTCCACGTTTTAAAGTGTATACTTTATCACAGTGATCTTGCAGCGAGAATTTCTTTTATATTTTAAATTTTAGTTTCAATTCATGAGTGATTAAACTCAACCAAATGAAATCACTTCAGACAGTGAAATTATATGTGGTTTGATAGAGAGGACCTGCTGCTATCATATGAAAGCTTTCAGAGTCATGCAGTCATTTCCTGATCTGCTGAAGTAAATTCACTTAAATTTACTTCTGTACATTTGCTTAAGTAATTTACTTAAGTAAGTTTGCAAGTAAATTGACTAAATTTATATATATTCTTTCTATCTCAGACAGCACTGAGCTACTTTTCCAATCTTGTTAACGAAAGGCGATAAGAGGATTTTTAAAAAATAAATTAGATTAATAATTTAAAAAAAAACCCAACCAAACACAGTCACAGAAAAAAAACCACGAACCAAAACTAAGTCACACCTGAACAGATGTTAGCATGATTAGTAAGATTTAAACAGTGGAAGTAGCTGTAGAAATATTATGGTGGAGAATAAATGGCAGCCTGCAAACGCATTGGCAGTCAGCAATCATGTGAAGCATACACTGCTCTAGGCAGAGTCTGAAGCTCCCAATCATCCTGTTACACACAGGATACGTTAGACAGACATGTTTGTACCATAGACACATGGATTCTGCTGGCTACAACAGAGACAGAGACAGACAATAAATGTAAATTTTCTATCTGTATACCAGCAACCTTCACAGTGAAAGAGACATACAGAAAACTAAACACCAGCTTGTTTATCAGCCTGCTAGTAAATCATCCTGCTAAAGCATGACAATGTACCTGAATAAACAAAGCAAAGTATATTTTATAAATGATCTACACAAAATACAGTCTTCACAAGTCCCCACCTCTAAGAGGCCACTAGGGACATTCAGGAGAATCCTTTGTTTGAAAAACTGTCTGCAAAACACCATTTTTCATTTCTCTGCCTTAGGGTTTTTTCACATTTTTGTTTTCTGTAGGATACTCCATTTTTAGCAGAAGCGCAACAGGAGAAGATAAACTGACTTGAAAACAGTCATTGAAAAAAAAAAGATAAAATATTTGGAAGAATGTCTAAAATTCTTTCTAGGAAACAGTTAAGAACTGAAATCTTTATTTGCAAGAACATTCAGAACACCTCAGTTATCTGACAGTGTGGATTAAGATCAAAAGCAGAAACTATAAGTGAATTCTTGGTTTTGACAGCTTTAATGAGAAAGCAGCAATTCACAACATCCCGTTGCAGATTACAATACATACAGAAAAGCCTAAACCTATGCTTGTGTTACTTCACCTTTTTCAACAGGGGCACTAGTCAGCCTTCTGTAGGGATGGAAACAGAAGTCATTGAAGTGCAATGGCTGGGAAAACATTGCAGTCACAAACGCCATCTGAATTGCTGCTAAACATGTCCACAAAAATTACAAGAGAAATACAAAGAAGTCATCACAGACACCAAAGTTTTGAGCAGCCCTGACAACAGCTAAACTGGTAGTTTCCATTTCACTTACCAGTTTGTGGGTGAGCTGGATGGTAATAAGAGGAGATCCTGACAGGTTGTGGGACAACTTGGGTAGGGGTTCCACTTTGATAGAGATAAGATAACTGGTTGCTGAGATCATGTAACCTTTGTAGGCAGCAGCTTCAGCAATCCTTGGAAAGAAACAAATACATTAAGGAAGTAGAACAACAAATTTTTTAGTTCATCCACAAAACAAGGAACACAGGACCTCCTTGCTCTGTAAGAGAGTAAGATGTGGCCCCAAAAGACTCTCAAGGAGTAGGAGGAACGGCTAAAAAACACAGAGAACAGCTCTAGATATGAGGAGATTTGTTATCATAAGTATTCCTTCAATTCTACTCCTCTTTTGCAAAAGTTTACAAGCCTTGCTGAAAGCACGTTAAAGAATTAGAGAGAATCTATGAAGTAATGGATCTAAAAATAACCCGGGCAAAGCAACCTAAGTGAGGATAAGACTTGCAGGGGTTTCAGGCTGTTTCATTAAACATATGTGTTCATAAGACACATGTACTTACACTACATGTAATGCGTATGCTTAGGAATATATTTAGAAGTAATTTATAGCTTTACTTTGAAAAATGATTATGTCCAGTTAGGTTTGTTAGAGGGTAAGTCAGGTCACAACACAAACAGCTGAGCCTGACTCAACATCTGATTAGTCCACACAGGATTTTTTCTCGGCTAAAACAATTTTGCAGTACACAAGAACACTTTTACTTCTGCTTTCAGCTAAAATTTATGACTTTGGCATTTTCACGCATTTAAAGAGTAACCAAGATCCATTTGACTGTAGAGTACAATTTTTCACACCATCAGTAACGAGCCGTGCAGGAGTAAAGTGGTGTCTGTCATCTACCTCTTCAGTATAGGAATGAATGGTATTTACTATGAGAAATATGAGCCATGGCAAATTAGCCAACAATGTGGGTTTCCAAACACAGCAGACCATTGGGAAGAGCCAGCTTGCAAAGCACAGTAAAACACAACTTTTTTTGCATCTGCCACCTGTTTGCAATGTTGGGTTTTTTTTTTCCCTTTCAGAAAAAGTCACGTGAGACATTAAAATAACTTCATGCAGTTCCTCAGCAATGTCAAAGAAAACAGAATTCATTTAGCACAACCCCAAGCACCAGTCTTTGGTTCTGACCACAAAAACACATCAGTATCAGAGATTACTTCTGCCCCCAATAACCAGCATGTGAACTGAATATGTCAAAGCACAAAATTTGATACTCTGATATGAAAACTTTCAGCTTAGAAAAGAACTCACAGACCACTAGCTGACATTTTGAGATTTCTCCTACACGTGTTAACAGGATGGACATTTTTTCCATATCCGTTATTCGCTGTTTTAAATTGAGAGAGCTAGATTAATTTTGAAAAGTGGAGAGACTTCGGTACAAGCAAGAAACGACACTTCTGTGATTTGTGCTTATACATGCAAGTGTTTCTTCATCGTGGCTCTTGATATTAGATGGAAGTAAGTCTGTCATCTGATTCCTTCAGTGAAATTACTACAGAGTTACACCAGCTGTATATGAGTGGGAGCAGAACCAAGCTCAAAACCTTGTTTGTTTTTTTTGAAGAATAAAAAGTGACTCTTCTTAGAAACTGCTATTTATGCAGTCTGAAAATAGAAGTCATCTGTCTGTACAGCACAAACGCTCCAAGAGTCTTGGTTTTAGCTTTCCACCACAAAAGAAAAAAAAAGTTTGCCCTTAAAAAGAAAATGCAGATGCTTCAAATTACAGGTGTTCAAATAGCCCAGCACTAGAAGAAACATTAAAGAAATTCTTTAAAACAACCTACTCTGGGAAAACATTGCTCTACTGAAATGTAAGCAAAAAAAAGTTTTACTAGCACAGCACTAAAAAAGAAAACCAAGCAGAAAAAAAAGATACTTATTTTTAAAACATTTTTTGAATACCTGGGATTTGATTCCACAGAGGAAAAATCGCTATGCTAGCCTGCCCTGTATTACTAGTATTTTAGATGCTGTTTTGGATAGATCTGCATCTAGAATTTTATAGACATGATGCTGTAGTGCATTACATAATTTGGATTAATTACAGAAATCTAGGAGATGTTTCTTCTGCAATGTCTTTCTGTTTCTCTTGAACAGCACAGGAAGGTCAGATGTTTTCTGACTCAGAAATGAGTGCCAAAAAATACATACAACTCAG